TATTTTGTGCCACAAAATAAGTCTCTTCAATTATATACAGGGTGACAAGAAAGCAATCGTGCAACATTGTTGTTTAAAACACTGAAAGAACCTACGTTGAGGTATTCCTTGGGTGGTGCTGTGGCTCTGTGGCTCAGGATCTGCGCCCGTGGCTGGAAGGTTGTCGGTTTGTATACTGCGGCTGGCATAGGAATCCGACTCTGTTGTGTCCCTGAGCAAGGCCCTTAACCCCAACTGCTCCAGGGATGCTGTATAAATGGCTGACCCTGCGCTCTGACCCCAAGCTTCTCTCTCCCTGTCTGTGTGCCCGTGTGTCTCATGGAGAGTAAGCTGGGGTATGCGAAAAAAAAAGACAAATTCCTAATACAAGAAATTGTATATGGCCAATAAAGTGATCTTACTCCTGTTTGTTCTGCAATGCATTTTAATGACAGAAATCCCTCCTACGGATGTTCTAGAGTATGGGCATTTTGGTTGTTGGAGGTTTTGATTTGGTAAGAACATGAAACCCTGCTTTTCAGGAGCATTTTGCCTCTAAAGCTCAAGTTGTTGTAGAAGGATAGGCCAAAGCAAAAAGTGAGGGAAAAAGGAAGCATCCACCATAGACAGTAATATTTACTATGAAGCCCCAGGGGCACACTTACTGTAGTTTGAACAATCCTGATATTAAATTATTCATCTGGAAGGGGGAAACGGGAGAGACATATGCATCTCAGCACAGTGGGTTTTCTCATGAGGAAAAAAAAAATACTACCATCTGTTTGTAAAACAACACCAGAGTATTGAATATGGTCCAAGTGGGAACAGAAGCAAGGGGCTTTCCATGTTAAGGTTCGTGAGAAGCACGGGGTAATGCTTCTTCTGTCACATCACAGGACGCGTTTCTGCTGATGCTGTTGCCGGCCGTGTGCGACAACGCCTTCTTGTCCGCCAGGAGTGACTGGAAGACTTTCCTGTCACATTGTCTCTGTACTCTACTCCTCTTCGAGGAGTGACAGCACTATTTTCATTAGGAATCGATTTTTCTTCCAATTTTTTTTTTAATGAAACATTCACTATGTGCTTCTTTACAGCGTACCAAATGTCCATCTTATGATTACGGGATAGGCACAATACTAATAACGTTGCGTTGGAGACGAAAATTACCCAAGAGTATAAGATACACAAACGATAGGATTTATTATTTTTTTTTTATTTAAGAGTGGTTCAAGTGAGTGAGGAAAAAATAGCGAGTTTCTGCTGGAGCTTGGTAAATCAGGTGGTTATATGCCAAGTTGTTTGTTTGTTTAATCCTCCTGTACTGTTCTTTTATGGTTGTTGCGCGTTATCAGGGCGAGATGCGCTGCCCCACGCAGTTCCACAATGTGTAGAGTTCCGTGTTTTCCCTTTCTCCTGACTGGGTGAAGCGCTGTCAGATGCAAGGGCCAGCTGTTGCGAGGCGGCTCGGAGTGCGTTACCTCTGTCGCACCATGCACACTGAGAGAGTTCTGTTCTTTGCTTGACTCCTCTTAAAGAGCACCGCTCGGGTGCCCGGCTGTACTGCCCCTCCGGTTTTGAGCGTTTTCTCCTGTACACTCGTTGGGATTTGTCCCGCACCATGGAAGATTTCTGTCTTTCTGAAAACGAAAGGATGGAGGCATGGCTGGATGATCACTTGGACTTCGCTCATTCTTATTTTGTAAGAAAAGCTACACGGTAAGGTCAGCAAAGGGCTTGATCAGCGGTGAAAGAGGAAAATATTTAGTTTTATTATACTGGTAATAATACAATGCATTTGTTATTTAAAACTACAAACATACTTTGCACTTTCATCTACTTTCCTATGTGCTGATAATGTAAAAAGGTGTTTTTAAAAAATACATTTGTTTTTGCAGTTTAAGACTTATGTTGCGTTTGAAATGCAAACATTTAGGTATAGTAATAACATGAAAGATGAAATATTTTTTCATAATTTGCAACACTTTTACCAGTAGCAGTCTTTTGGCAGATCCCTGTCTAGTGTAGACAGGAGTACTCAGTAGTTTGCAATACCGCAACACTGTAAGTTCGGACGATGTCACAAAATCACAAGGGTTATGTATTTAAATATTGTATTAAATTTAGTGTTTAGGCACGTTTGTCTGTAGAGTTGGAATAATCCCAGGTGCTTTTTCTTTAGCAGTTCTATTGTCAACTCAAAGTATTTTAGTAATTGTGTCTTTGCAATTTGTGTCGTGAACAACGGTTGTAAAGTTAATGTGTTCGTTAACTGCTTTGTAAAAAATATTCCAAAGGTACCTCTTTTAAGTACACGTAAATGTTATCGTTGTTAACTGTATTGCTGAAATGGGTCTTTCGCTTTTTTCCGTTGGCTACTAACGCAGATCTCATCCTCTTTAGTCGCAGTTTGTGTTCGTGCCATAGGACAGACGCAGGTCAGGAGTAGAGATGCCAAAATAAACTAAAACCGTAAAAATAAAAATCTAAACTGTGTTTCGTAATTACTCGCACACAGATTGAGTAATTGCATGTGAAATTCGCGCAACAATGGTATTCACCTCGCCCGAGCTCCAGTTTTTGTAATAATTTATTCGGACCAAATCTTTCTGATCCTGTGTCCATTCATTTCTTGCGTACAGTACCTCACACGTTTAACTGCAGTACAATAATTACTATAACTATTACTGCAATAATAATTAAAATTGAGTAAGTTTTCTGAATAAGAACTAGCCTTAATAGTAATATTAATTCCATGATAATAAATTCGTGCACAACTTTGACAATTTATTCTATTTTTATTGTTATTGGCGTTTTGGCAATGAATGGCAGAAGTACACTCTCACATAGTATTAATCAATACCATCTATATACATTTGATCGCAGGCATATTTATTTTCCCTTGTCAAAGTATATCCTTTGAAATATTTGCTTTGCAGTGAAATTGACCTGATGTAGCATAATTACAGTAATACATATTTAAGAAGTACTTTTTACATCTTACATTTTACCTGCATCTAAAGAAAATCTAGTCAATTCAGTGAACATTTATTCAGGTCCTCATTTTATTTTTTCCCCCTAAATGCAATCTCAAACACTTAAAAATCCTCTGTGATCTAAGAATCCTCATATTCCTTATCCTTTTTATTTTACATTAGTTTATACTATCACAGAGACATATCATTATGGTTTGTGTTCAGAGTAATCTGCATAAAATATCAGAGATACCTGTAATAACTTTTTATATAGAATTTATATAGTGCCTTTTATGGTATGTCAGGAGACTGTACAGTATAAGAATCAAAATTATATTGAATTGGCTTCTTTTTGGAAAGTAAGCTGTAACTATATTGATGTAAAAGGTTTTTTAAAAAAGATGTAATGTACCATTTTATGAGGAATCACTGCTTTTAAATTTTTAATTAATGTGCGTTAGCTTTGTTTAGGATTATCAGGAGGTGAAAACAATACAAGAATATAAGTGGGAAGTATGCTGTCAACTGAGTTTTGCAATAAAGTAGTCCTTATTTTCCAGAATTTTATTTTTCATTCTGCATTCAGCAGTGCATTTATGTTGCATGACAAGGCGTCAGTCGGTAACTAATAATATTCATAAACATTTTTACGGTTATCAGATAACTTTTTTATGAACAACAGTACATCAGATTGTAATTACTGTATGTTGTACACCTCACAAAACAATACATACTGTAGATAGTGCTTTTTAAAATCATTGCTCCTTCTGTTTTGGTGTTCTTTGTACTGTAGTTGCTGTTCATTAAAACAGAAAAAAAGAATCAAGGAAGATTAAATAAAACAGACAAAACAAGAAGAAGCAGAAACCATAAACTATTAAGGATCAATGGGAAGAGAAAATAAAAAGTAATCTTAAGAAGCATGTTTTCATCCTTTACTTACAAGCAGAAATATACAGTATTTTAAAAATTGACTGTTAATGCTAACAAAACAGAACTTGTAAGACCGTAAAGGATTAAATAGTGTTGATTGATCTGAGATTTTGAACTTTTAATTTAAATTAAATATGCTGTTTTATTGAAAGAGCAGCAGTTAGCAAGACTTCTAAGGTTACATATTTTAATATGCAGCAGAGTTACACAAACACTGAGGCTTTATGGACATTAGGCCCAAAGGTTTATTTCAGTGCATATATTCAGCTCCTAATTATGTAGGAAATTGCATTTTAGACTCCAAGGACTAAATTATTAAAATATTATTAAGTAAGCAAATGTATACCTCCATTTTAATCTTTTATATTAATCAGACTAATATTTTTTTTAGGAAAAAAATCTGATTCTGATTATTCCTTTCTCAATCCTTTTTATTCCTGTAAATTGTTCAACAGATTACTAAGTATGCATTATATATCAAAGCTTTAGAAAGTGATCAAGGTAATAGCATTAACTGAATCTTGAGTGAAACCCTTTCCCACTTCTGTTGTTTTTTTTTTTAAATCTGGACACTCAGTTCACATTTTGCATTTTAACACCCATTTTAGTGAAACCTTTGAGCTGAAATGATGAACCCGTTCATTTAGAAAAAGAGTTAAAAAGGTTTATAGATAATATGACATAGTGTAGCAGCCACTGGTGGTGAACTTCTGTACTTCTTAAAAACTGATGACTTCAGATTTCTGTTAGAGGATTTCACAGAAACAGGCTTTCTGGAGGGTGCAAAGGCCAGAATGCCAGATGACCACTGTCATTCATACAAAAAGCTAGTAATTTATTTCTAGTATCTCTTCTCTATGACCATATACCTTAAAAATTAATTGTGTTTTTTTGTTGAAATGAAGAGGTTTAGTATTTATTTATCAGTCAGTTTACACTTGAGCATAACAGAAGTAAAAGCATTCAAAGGAAAATGTCAGACATCTGCTGAAAGCTCAGCTTTTCCAAGCTGCCTAATGATTTATTACAGGCTCCACTCATGGGTAGTTGCTGTCCTAGTTTTGTACAGTAGGTGACTTTTGAAGTGAGCATTTCCCCAGTGTTTAATTAGCTTAATTGAATATCATGTTTTGTAGCCAATAGAAACAAACATCCCAAAATCTGAGAATCTCAGGATTTAATCCTAGAAAAGATGACTAACACATTAAGTCAATTTATGGATACTTATATAATCAGATATTTTTATTTGATTTTCTTTATGACTTGAGTCACAGATTAATCTGGACCTTATACTGTACATTAGGTTTACCAGCTTGGAAATGAATTTATAAGGGACAGGTGTCTCATTAGTTTATACACTCTTTTTCTTATGTTGCGTCTGATGACAAATGTTAATGTGATAACACGCAGCTACCTGAATGTCATAGAATAGCAAGGGGGGCTGTAAATGAGATCTGGTTTTTGCAGGGAGATGGTCAACGCGTGGTTTGCTGAAAGAGTCCATTCAATCCCTCCCTCCAAAGAAGGAAGCAGAGCTCAGGCGGAACCGGGCCTTGTTCATCAGAGCGGCCGCCAGGAGACCGCTACCCCCGGGACCCCCACCCGGAAAATCTCTGCTTCTGAATTTGACAGACCGCTGCGGCCCATTGTTTGCAAAGACTCGGAGGGCTCCTTGACTTTTGTTAGTGACTCAGAGAAGGTCCAGGTGCCCTTAAAAGCCCAGAGGCTGCAGGCAGGTGAGGTCCAGGTGAGCGACCAGTGCACTCGGCTGCTGGAGCTGGTGAAGGATATCTCCAGCCACCTGGATGTAACAGCACTCTGCCACAAGATTTTCCTGCACATCAATGCACTTATAGATGCCGATCGGTACTCGCTCTTCCTGGTCTGTGAGGACAGCTCCAATGAGAAATTCCTGGTCAGTAGACTGTTTGACTTGGCAGAGGGCTCAACATTAGAAGAAGCTTCAAACAACTGTATTCGTCTGGAGTGGAACAAGGGCATTGTGGGCTATGTGGCAGCTACTGGACAGCCACTCAATATCAAAAATGCTTATGAGGTACTCAAGATTTCTTAATTTCTTTTCTCTTAATTTCTTTGAAAAATTCAGTGTGGAGCTTATTTAACTTTAAAAAATTAACTTCATTTAACTTCAGAAGTGTTTTGAACAACACTTGTTTCTAGGATTATATTACAGTGTGTTTGTTCTGATGTTTGCATGATGTGACTTTGAAAGTGTTATGAGACAGAGCTTTAATGTCTCCATAGCAATACTTAAGTCCTAAACCAAGCGTTGTCAAAGCAAAAGTGCATCTGCCCTCCTTAATGATCATTAGACGAGAGGTGAATGCATAGAACTAAGGATGTTGATGATGAATCACATACAGTATGTACTTAAAATAAACAGATTTTCCATTTTGTATTACAAGAAGTCTGAAGACTTAGATTGGGAAGCTTTTTTTAGGCATGGTTGTGGATGTGCTGAAATGTTGGCAAGCAAAGATGTGCATATTAGTCAAAAAGTAGTTTGATTGAGCTTTTCAATTACTACTTTTTTTGTGGAAAAAATAAGTTTTTTCCATACTTCTAATCACTTAGGAATCTGAAGTTATAACAAATGTACTCCATGTTCTCCTTGTTTTTGTGGTGTAGGTCGAAACTAAAATACAGATATCCTTCACAAGTATCTTGACTTTTTCTATTGCATATGCACACTTCACATTCTTATTCTATGTTCTTGAACATCTGTATTTCAGAATTAACCCCATTTAGACTGGGAAGACTAGGAAAGTCATGGGTTCAAATGGTGTGAGAGCCTGCTGTTGTACACATGGCTTACTGTGTGGGAGGCTTCTGTTGTACACATGAACTAAGTACTGTATGTCACTCAGATTTTTCCAGTCAATTCTGTTCTTTACAAGTAAGTCTCCAGGCTGTCATCTCAAATGGCTAACCTGGTTTGGAGGACCTCATGGCACTATAGGATTGCTTTCAGTTATCACTTAGAAAAATAAGATTTGTGAAGATTCTCTGTTGTTTGCTTTTTGCAGGGAAAGATACAACATTTGCACATGTTGTAGAAAGTTCATAATAGTAGAACTTTCTTAGGAAAGTTTTCTTTTTTAATAAACAATAAACAGAAACACCTTTCTCACAACACACACAAAAGATACACACAGTGCTGAGAAAATGTGTATGAATGCCCAATACGATTTCATATTTTACATGAAACTGATCTTTTCTTAAATAACCAAGAGGTAAAAGGTTTATATTTATCATTTTTATCTTTAAGACACAAAGGTATTGTATTTTAAGAAGAAAGATGGAAAAATATAAGACTTACTGTATGTATAAAAGAATAAGTGAAGCACAATGAAAGAATCGGGTGGTTAAATAACTGAGTAAACAAGCACTGAGTCTGGACACCCCTATAATGTATAATGATGAGAAACTTTGTAAGTTTGGTCTTCAACATAAATGTAATGGAAATTTGGCATGTTATAATCAGAAAAGATTTCATAGGACCTCAGAAATGTCGTTCTGCAAATGAGTCCTGAGAGTGTTGCAAAACCATTTTTATACACTGGGAATCCACCCATCCACTCTCAGACAATCCACATTCTGCAAATATTCAAGAACATGGTGTATCTACTGAAGACCGGTAGTCCCACCATTAAAGTCCCAAAGAACCACCTGGAAAAGTATCCCGGAAGTCACTGAGAATCTCAGGGTAAGATCTAAGGGTCTGTAGGCCTCTCTTGCTGCGGGTAATATCAGTGTTCACACCATAACCACCAGGAAAAGACTGAACAGGATTGGTTTTCATGTAAGGAAAGCCAGGAAGAAACCAGTGGTCTTTAAAAAGAATCTTGCTGTTTGGTTCGAGTTCACCAAAGATCACCTGCATGATCCACAAGACTACAGGAAGATCTCTGTTCTCTGGACAAACGGGTCAATGGTTGAACTCTGAGCCACAGTGAGAAACATTTTGTGCGGTGATAATGCAACACGGTAGTAATCATGGTTTGGGGCTGCTCTGCTGCTTTATTGATGGAACCATGATTTCAGCATTTTATCTGCAAATTTGAGAGACTAATAAAACACTTACAGGAAATGTCTAGTTCAAGTCATTGCTCCTCAAGGAGGTTGGATGATTTTGTTGATTTAGTAATGCAAATAAATATATCTTTGTGTTATATGCTTAATCAGGTTGTCTTCCCCTTTTACAAAGACTAATCAAAATCTAATAATGTTTTAAGTCTAAAATATACAATAATATGGGCCAAACTAGGGGGTTCACAAGCATTTTCTCTGCACTGTATTTATCCACTGTACATGAACAGGTCTTTAAAAAGACACAAATGACATTGATGAACTGTAACTGTTAAAAAATGGCCTCAGAGTTGAGTATGTATTGTGTAGTAGAAAAGCCACCTATAAATCTCTCCTTTTTTGTGTTGTTTGCTTTGCAGACAGTATGTTACATTCATTGCTGCCCAACTGTCAAAAATGGCAGCTTTTTCGACTGTTTTAATAAGATGCTCATTTTGATAGGTTGCAGTCTGTTTTCAGCAAGGCTCTGTGGGAGTAGAAACCCTGTTGTTTTCAAATCCACCTGTGGCCAATTAGAGCAGTAATCTTGCATTCAAGCAGGCAAGTGTGACATGATTTTGGGAGCAAAAAAAACAACAACCGCTATCATGTAAACTGAAATGTGATCCAGATACTGGATTTCCTGCGTCATAATAGACACATTACCCAGCTAGACTCAACTCAACCATAAAAAATATTTTGGCTTTCATAAACTGCTGGTGTCCATCTGATTGTGATGGGAATTTATTTTGACTAGATATCCTAGCTCGCATTAGATTGTTTTTGTGCTGCTTTTCTATGGTCCCTGAGGCTCATGCTTTCAACTTCACTGTGCTAATTAAAACTGGAAATGACAGGGAACTTTTTTCACCAGCTACATCGTGATTGGGCATTTCGTATTCTACTGGGAAGTAACTTTTTTTTGCTGTCAATCAAAATGGCTGAACTGTTTATAAAAAATGCTTGACTCAGCTTTTGCCTTAAGCTCTGCAGCATTTCGACTTTTACTTTTTTTAACCTGGCAATATTTTTTTCAGTTGTGAAACTAATGTAGTTTAAAATGTGCCCTGGGCAGTAAATGTACATTGAAGATAGAGGGGTTATATATCAGGTGACCTTTTTTGATCGTAAACAAACTGTTGGAGAAATTGTTCATTACTCTTAACTACATCACAGGTTTAAGTAAACGAAAGTGGAGTGTATAAAAGAGCAGATTAAATGCGTGATGTTCCCACAAAGATAAAACTGTTGACAGGCAATTTGAGGAATGTTTGTTTTGGATCTGCTTTTATCCTATGTGGATCTGCATTTGAGTGGAGTTTAGAATACAGAAATAAAGGTTTAATTGAATTTCATAGTTAGACTTCACGTGACTATCTCTTTTTCTAACCTGGTAATAATATTACCTTACAAGCAAATCATGTTTATTTTTGCAGGATGCAAGGTTCAACGCAGAGGTTGATCATATTACAGGGTACAAGACACAGAGTATTTTGTGCATGCCAATTAAGAACCACAGAGAGGAGGTACAGTATGTCTTTCATTTCCTCATTTTCTTTGTGTATTTGCTGAATATTTGTTAACTGACAAGTTTCGTTTTGTCTGTTACTGGGCTTCGTAACTCCAGTCCTCAAGTGGCATAGCCTTTTTTTATCGGGTCCTCCGTTAACTAATTGAACTCATTATTTGTTTAAATGAGCAATGGCAACTCTTTTCCCAGGCTTAAGCCATGTGATGATTTAAAGAGACCTGTAACGTGATGTTTCCTTGGACTTTAATGCCCCTTGACCCTTGTTCTACCAAGAGCAGATAAAGGCAATTTCCATTGGATGACGTCAAAAGAATTGAATGGGCAGAAGAGAAATCCCCCGTGTATAAAAAAGAAAAGTGCCGATTACCTGAACTCAAACCTTATGCTCTTGGAGTCTTTATTTTGCCTGGAGTGCTGGATTTTTCCTACATCCAGGAGAATGGCTTTGATCTGAAGGTCACACTGTTGACTGTACTGTATGTAGGTCTGCTCCACATTGGATGGAGTCATAGATGACTGGAGAATCAGCTAACTTTGTGCTTCCAGACAGAGCTTCGTAGTGTTAGCAAGTGTTCTGTCTTCCTTCCTATTGACAGGTAAGATTTGTGAGTGTTAAAACACATGGAGAAAAGAACAGTACAAGGTTCTGTACTGTTGTAGGTAATTGCTCTGCCAACAAGTAATCGTTACCTTAATTGTCCTGGGTAGTATTAAGGGGAGGCCCAATCTTGTGAAACACTTATTTCAGTAAAAATAGGAAAAATGCAATATTAAAAATGCTGCTCAACCAGCTACATTTTTTCAGGGGTCCATTTGGAGTGTTTCTGTTATGTCTGTTCATTTGTGAAACATAATAGATTGCTCTATGGTCTCAGAACAGTTTGGTTTATGTGATTTTCAAATTTTCTTTTTGATATTGTTGACAGACAGTCCTGCAAAAGAGAAATAGGCAATTTCCTGCATAAATGTTATCTCATTAGAACAAAGTCTTTGTGTTTAACCCAGTAAACAGTCAGCTCACCCCAGTGACCACGTGTGTTGCTACACAAGAACATTAAGTACATTTCAGAGTAAATGTCAGTATTTAATTGCATGTTCCTTTGAGGCAATAAGTACAAAAATCCTACAACACAAGTACCTTGTTTAATCATTGGAGATGTTTTTCTGTGACCACTTTGAGTTCTTGCCTGTTCCTGGCGTTGTTCTGACTTCCATTTTTCCTGTAGTGTGTAAAATGCAAAAACAGTTTCATTTAAATCCAGAGACTGATTTGATGAATGTAACAGTTTACACTTTTTTTCTCCTGATTTTTTTTTTCCTCGTGGTTGTACTGTACAGTATGTGTCCCATGGTTTGAGTAATTTTTATCCTGTCTGTCAAAGTGCTGCCCAATATGTATGAAAGCATTCACAGTACACTACACATGCAGACAGTATGTATCTCCAAACAGATTCAGAATTCATTCTGCTGCTGCCATCATTAGTTTTTTTTTTTCTAATGTGATCAAAAGTATACATGTAATTACCCAAAAATAATTTGTAAATTGTTGTTGTCATTCATGTTAATCTCATTATCACAAATACCAATTGCTTAACTTACAGTATACAGTATAATATACAGTTAGAAATTCCAAGATTTCTGGAGTGCTTTGCTTTTTAAAGCTTTTGTAAACTGTAGGTAGGATTGCTATTAAATTGATGCTTGTTCCTATAGTATATTTTACTTACATGGGACCAGAGAAATTCCTTAGCAGGTGCAGTAGAATAGACTTGTGAAAATGAATATGCCAAAGTTTCGTGAGAAACTATGAAAATAAATATATTTTTAAATCTAGTGCACTTTTTTATCTGTTTTGTTATTTCCCCATACAGGTTGTTGGTGTGGCACAGGCGATAAATAAAAAGTGTGGCAAAAATGGCACTTTTACTGAACAAGATGAAAAGGTAAATTCTATTTTGTATCAGTTTCTCATTATTTTTCATGACTGCTTTTGCTTTTTTTCTAGTATTCTTTGGTACTTTATCTACTGTCTCGTAGGTTTCCATGTGTGTTTACACTAAAGTCTTATAACGTAAGTTACTGTAGGTCTGCTGTATTGTTTGCATTGTTTGAGCAGCTGTATATTCAAATGCTACGAGGACGTATTGTAAGGGTCATGGTCAGAAAGTGCATATTAAAGTAATAATTAACCTGAATCTATTTATAGGATTTCTCAGCATATTTGGCCTTTTGTGGGATTGTTCTCCACAACGCCCAGCTGTATGAGACTTCAAGGCTTGAAAACCGCCGTAATCAGGTATGATCCCGAGAATTACATATTTCATGATGCAAGTGTTTATTAAGAATACAGAAGCATTTTAATTTGAAATGTGTTTACTGAGAATAAAATAATGGACCAAAGCAATCTACACTGCTTTCCACAAAGGCGCAGATTACAACAAACCTTGAATTTCTCTGCAAAAGGAAAAAGCACAGCTTGATGCACTTGATACAGCCTTAAAAACTGTATTTCACATTTAGTAGGTGTTTTTAGTAAATTATGATTTAATCCTGACCTACAGTAAATGAAGTTACCTGTGATTCTACTTTCTTACTGTGTGTAAAATGACTCTTTTATTACCTGAAATGCAATGCTTAAGACTACATACAAGTCATTAATAAGATTAAGGATACACATTCTATGCTATTTTTAGATGAATAAGGGGAAGAAGAAAGTGAACTATTTTATAACACCTTTTAATCAAAGCAGTATAAACATAAAAATAAATTTAAAAGCACAGGCAAAAAAACACTGTCTTGAAATGTGAGTCATGACACATTTCCGTTGGTGAGAGGCGTTATTAGCAAGCCATTTCAAGTTATTTCACTCGTCATAATTTTATATACACCAAAATCCTATTACAGAGTCCTTTCACTTGCTCCATTTTTAATCCGTCACAAGTTATTTTGTTGTGCTGCATCCAAAACTATTGTTAAACCTTAACTTTAAGTCATTTAAATGTTATAGTCTGATATATCGTTCTGAAGAATATGCATGACATACAACTTGCACCCGTCTCTGTCGGAAGTTTAGTAATTTTGCAAATAGTATGATACTAATTTATTAGTTCTTTCTGTTACATTAGGTGCTGCTTGATTTAGCCAGCTTGATATTTGAAGAACAACAATCCCTTGAAGTAATTCTGAAGAAGATTGCAGCAACAATATTGTCATTCATGCAAGCGCAGGGCTGCACTGTATTCATAGCAGATGGGGACTCTATGGTGAGTGAAATAACTATACAAAACTGAAGAGGCTTCACATTGTTTCAATTACAATGTGATATTGTAGTAAGTGGATTGTACTACAGGGAGTCACTGTTTCTGCCCTTTATACTTCATTGTGTTGACGTTTATAGTAGGACTTCTGATGACGAATTTTCTAACAAAGAATACTATCATTATAGTATGAGAGGAATGAAGCAGACGATAAGGAAAACTTTTTCAAATCTTTTGAATTACGAATTATGCTTTGTGAAGATGTAAGTGGGCTGACAAGATCCATCTTTTCCAAACATGTCTAACACAAATAGAGCAGAACTTGCCAATAGTACAAAATTCCCAAAAGGAAATTGGTCATTGGGCTGTAATTTCTACAGAATCCAAGATAATAGTTTATCCACTTCAAACAATGAAACCCAGACAATCAGATAAAGAAAAGAAACAGCCCTAAGGCAGTTAACTATATGAATTTGTTCTCCCATAGAGCACACAGTAATTCTCTAGAATTTATTTAATCTAATCTTTATTAGATTTTAATACTTTTTTGATTAATAAAAACAATTTTGTTTTTATTAATCAAAAATGGTTATTAAACCATGTTTGTTTCATATTATGAATAAATGACAGTAAAATAAACAATATCTTGATTATCCAGTGGTGACAGTTTGTTTTCAGGACTATAAATAACTGAATTGGGAATAATGTGTGATTTTTTAATCTGATAAAATTGATAGATTGGTGCATTATTAATCTAAGCAGTTTTGTCACATAATAAAATATATCACATACAGTATAACAGAAAACTGTTCTGTTCTGTCATTGACATTACTGGACAAAAGGGTTTAGTGGATAAAATGCTCCCCCACAGTTGCTATTGATATACATGTAGTGCTAAAAAAGATAGATTTTCAAAGATTTCAAAGCTTTCTGTGAAACAAGATGCTAGTGAAACGCACACGCTTATAATTGGGTGATGAAACTCAGCTGAACAGCTTAAATTAAATGGAATTAAAACAGCCAGGAAATGATAAACACACCAATGTCTAATTGTGCTATTTCACAGCACAATGTCCTTTGAACTATAATGTTTTGGTCAAGAAAAAGACTTGAAGAAATTTAATCAAAAACACCTGTCATCTGTTATAGCCTGGAGAATGAAGATGTCCTCAATAACTGTTATTAGTATTCATCTATTTAGCTGAGTCTTTTGTCCCAGCCAGCTTACATTTTTAACCATTTATATAGTATTTTATTGAAGCTGCATGATTGAAGTACCTTGCTAACCAACAGCTACTGTATATCGGCAGCTATATTACCCTGCAACTCATAACTGGTAGCCCATTGAAGCTGAGCAGGTGTGAATCTGGCCAGTACCTGTGATGGGAGACCTCCTGGGAAAGCTAAAGTTTCTGCTGGAAGAGGAGTTAGTGGACCAGTAGGGGGGCGCTCACCCTGCAGTCTGTTTGGGTTCTAATGCCTCAGTATAGAAATGGGAACACTATACTGTAAAACAAAAATGTGCCATCCTTCAGATGAGATATAAAACTCACTCTCTGTGGTCATTAAAAATCTCAGGGCATTTCACGGGAAGTGTAAGAGTGAAACCCCATTGTCCATGCGCATTTTTCCCTCAGCCTTTACCAGTCATGGCCTCCTAATAATCCCCATCTACGAATAGGCTTCATCACTCTGTTCTCCCCACTGAAAAATAATGTGTGGGGAGTGAACTGGTGCACTTTGACTGCCATGTCATCATCCAGGTGGGGCTACACACTGGTGGTGGTGGAGGGGAGTTCCTAATGCCTATTATAATACACTTTGAGTGGAGTATCCAGAAAAGGGCTATATAACTGTTAGGAATTAGTATATAAGCATAAGGACTTACTGTATTAACAGCAGTGCTTCAACCCTCCTGTGGGGGGTTAAATCGCTCAGCTTCCCAGTTCTGAGGCCAGAGTATACTGTAAGTTGACACTATTTGTACATGAAGTTTTTTAAAAAACATTTGTAATGTGATGAATGCAGAAAGAAATAATAAAAATATACAGAATGTGAGAATGTGAGAAAAACAATGATTTGAACTTTTATGTCCAGAAAAAATTTTTAAACTACTTTTAAAACTATAAAAAATAGAAATAACAATATCTGACTTTTGAGTATTAATGGGTGAACTGGCACAGGGAGCCTACAGTATATTTGTGTGGGAAATGGGCAAAAAACAAACATGAATTTCAGCTTCTGTGCTGATACTCTTTCTGTGTTTTCTCTGTGAATGTGGTTTGGGTTTTCTGACAACTAGTTGATCAGTAAAAAGGCCCAAGTGAAGAAAAAGCCTTAATTTCAATGGTGGTGATAGAAACTGCTGACACAGTGTGATTCATCTCATTGTGTTTAAAAACTAAAAATCTTTCCACTGGATGTTCTCTCTAAACAAGTCCCTATAAGGTGATAAATCTCTCTCATGGAATGCTGAAATGAAATAAAATGTTGGCAGCATTGATGGGTAATATATCAGATATTCATTTCATGGTGAACAGCTGTTAAGAGTTCAAAATGTGTCTCTCTTATTTATTACATTTTCACTTAGGCCAGCGTACCAGTTTTTGCACAGATATCTGATATGCTTAGAAAAACACACTTACGTATATTATCCCATATGCTCATATTGTGTACATTTGGTGTCACTGGCGACTGATAACAAATTTGTGTACATTAACTTTCTCACTAACTATAACCAGAAGAAAGGTAATCTTTCCATGTTTCATTACAGAACTCGTTTTCTAGTGTGTTTCACATGGAATATGAGGAACTTGGTGAGTCTCCTGAAGTTCCAAAAAGGTAAGTGAATACTGTAAAGCAGTTCTGAAGGCACTCTAGCAAGTTCCAACACAATAAAATACTATAGTAAAGCAATGTGACAGTAAAGGTGTTAAGGAATATATTAGCACAGAAAGAATGTATAGTACTTATACATTCTATACACTTATAGTAGTTGTGACTTACAGTAATATGTAAACCATGAAAGTATCAACAGAAGTGCAATATATTGAAGTTAGGCTTCTACAATATATGTATTGTATATGTAGTACCAGATATGACGTCTACAGTATATGTAGTGCCAGATGGAATACATAAGCATACAATAACATGCAGTATTGCTCTGAACCTTGTTTAACTAGGAGCAGTTTGAATGATGGAGCAGGAGGCTGACCAGCTTGGTTTGTACAGTTTTGCCACACTGTAATATTTCATTTTATTGTTACTACATTGATAGCTCCATGGTTCATTGATCAGTGTGCACTAAGCGGAAGTTTTCACCAGGCAGATGATGACCTGGAGTGGGCATAAAATATGGCAAGTTGCTATTCAACTGGTGCAACTTTTCATTAAAGAGAAGCAGTTTAAGTTGTGTGACAAAATAGACGTGGACATCTTGGTACAGTATATGCAGGAAGGACTGTGGATCAGATGTTAACTGTATGCGGACTACCATGATACCTACCAAGTTTGGCGTGAAACATACTGTACTGTACAAGGGTTAGTGTTAACAGCAATGTTTCATACATTCATCATGTATGCAGTAGAAATTAGAATTGTACAGTATGTGTAAAGGTTGAAGTATATTGGTCTAATACGTTTTAATAGGAATCCACCTGTGAGATGGACAGTGTTTCTCAGTGCATATTGGTGTAAAAATAATTGTAAAACTGTTCAGGATTGGTTGTTTACAAAACCCTAAAAGATTCAGTGCAACTGTTCATTTGAAGAAGATTTTTTAAATATGCAGGTCAATTAACTTGTTTGATTCAGTTTTTCAGATACAGGATAAACACCCTATCTGTCCCATTATGCCTGCCTAATAATTTGCTCTGGTCAGTTTTCATAGACCAGTTTAATTAATAGAAAACTGTAATTAGTTATGAAGGCTTTTAAGCGAGTCCCTACCCTCTTATTTTAATGCTGTTAAACAACTGAACTTTGAGTACGCTAAGGGGAAAATACATTTTTCTAAAATGTTTGCAGTTTTGCAGTTTGCAGGAAAGGCAGTTAACTCTCTTAAAGAAAAAAAACATTTTAACATTTAACTCTCCTATTCCAAATATAGCTTAAATAGAATTCTCTATTAATTTACCAACTGTACATTTCATACCATAATAAACTTTCAGAATTAGCTGTAGTAAATGGCAACTTAAAACACTTCTTTGTTAAAAATTCTGAACCCTAAGACCAGATCAGCAGTAATACTCTTTAAAACTGCTATGAAACAAAACACGTGAACATAATGTGTCTTGTTAAGGTTAATCTTCCTGTAAAGTTTTCACTATTTCTTGTTATCAGAGTATTGTGACACTTTCAGGTAGAACTTTATTCACAATCTACTCTAAAAAATGCAAACTGTGTGCGAATCAATTATTATTTTTTTTAAATGAAAAAGTTAACAAATGCATTTTTTCCATCTCTCTTATAATTCTGAATCAGTTCAGATGCAAAACCGTAGTATGAAAGATCACAAAATTACTGTAATCATCCCTGTATATAAATCATGTGCATGTGGTTTAATTTGACTTAATGCACCTGACTCTGTAAGTTACTCCAGATACATTTTGAATTTCAACTATACAGTAGCAATGAAACAGGTCAACCAGGGATATTTTGAAACAAGTCCGAGAAGAAGTGCTGATCAGGTGAAGGTTTCACATCTCTTTAAGTTCAATGTAGTCAATCACTAAGGAGTGGAATGTGCATCACCCCGCCCAGACACTACCTAGATCAGACCACCCTTTCAAACCAAGCATAAGGACAGGGAGGAAACTGGTTAGGAATACCATTGTGAAACAAACAGTGACTTTGTAACTGTTATGTCTCTTTTTTTACACAACAAAAGTGTCCTAATTATTGTTGATCTGCACAAACCTGGCTTATGTGGGTGAGTGGCAAGAAAATACCATAACCATTGTTGATAACTGTGCAAAAATGGTAGGGACTTAACTAGCTGTAGTTGGTGCCAAAGGTGCTTCTACCCAGTATTAACTCAATGAGCTGAATGATGTATGCACATAGTCTATATGAAAAATTGTGGTTTGGTAATCTATTTCTAAAAACCTTTAAAAACTTTGACTTTTTGAATTTGAGAAATTTACAGTAAATCAGAAGACAGGGTTATATCTTTCTGTAGCTACATTTCGGAAATCGAAAAAATAAATCTAAAGCTATTGGCGATTCAGGATACTTAAAAATAAGATGATACAAAGCAATACTGTAAGTAGTTGCCATTTTAACATGCTGATGGGGTTCATGTCTACAACCACAGTTACAATTTATCAAGATGCACCATTATTGTATCCAATTTATTCATACCTATTTTCAGGTCAATACCTCATTGTATCATATTGGAATAGTAGCTACTGTTGTATGAAGAAATGTCACATTTAGATGAGGTTATGGGAGCAATAGGGTGTAGCACTGAAGTCCGCATTCTGGAGGTTCCACTCATTTTCACTAGGACTAAGGTCTGGGCATTGTTCTGACAAGAGAAGATACAGAACAATAATTACTAACCCACCTGCACTTTGCCAGACAGATACAGTAGATTCTATTAGTTTTTCTGGAGAATCCTTACATTTTGGCCAATGATTGTTTTTTTTTGTGCTCAGGACACCATACTATAGTAAGGTTATCATCATATGTTTTATAAATGTTGGAAAAAACAATCTACTTGCACACTTTTCATGCTTGGATTTCAGACAGACGATTTAGTGTCTTAATGCCTGTAAAACTGAGGTACAGTACACTCAAAGTGTTTGGCACCTTCAAGTATTCCAGATTTTCTAGGGCATTATTTAAATGAAAACAGAGGGAGGAAATCCCTACATCCACAATACCTCAGAAATGTGATTCTCCTTATTAGAAATTAGTAGGTAACATTAGCACAGAGGAAGGCTGCCAATACTTATATACTGTATGTGACTGCATGGCCATGCTCAAAATTAGTGTTGAGTATCTCTTATAATGTAGCTAGCAATCTTGTAGCCACATTTAGTAAGGAAATGTGTCATTACTATTAAACAACAACAAATACTAATCCTTACTAGTACTTTTGTTTTTTCTGTTTCTACTACGTCTACACAGTATCTGAAAATGTTTAGCTAATTGTAAGTAAAAGCTCAATTCAAATTAAAATTGTTTGGTACCATTTTGGAGGATGATTGTTGTTGGTGAACTTCAAGTAAAATTAGGAATTGGCTTAATTTCATAAAGGAAAGTAAGAAACGTCTTACTCTCTTCCTTCTGCAAATCTACATGCAGATCCAGGAAGTTACTTAGTGCACCATTATCTTAGAAGGTCCTGCGATGACTCCTTTGGTTCATGTTTGTTTTATTTTCCGTAATCATAAACTTATTACAGTTGATTCCCCTTTCTCTTTTTCTCATCGGAGTAACAAAGCTATTCCACATTTTAGCAGACATTTTCGATGATGGGGGTCGAAATGCAGTTTCAACTCCTAGAACAAGTGAATTATTCTAAAAGTTGAAATTGCATTCTTGCATGAGATCTCTGGCTTCTCTTAAATTTTATACTTGTTTCTTTGTCCTGCGAAGCATACCCATGACATCCCTTGGGGGATTGTTAAGACCTGAGGGTTGTTTAAGACATCAGTACATTATCTATTTGACTTCAGGGACAAAACAAAGGACTCTCTCTTTTTAAAGTTTTTAACACAGACTTTATACAAACTCTTAGAAATGGTTACTATGTAGTATAGGGACTCAAAGATTGCAATGAAGTTATTTCTTGGGAGAGTATTTGCGATTACAGTATATAAATTCTACTCCCACAAATCCTAATTATGTAATGATCAACTTAATTTTTTTCCTCGGAGTACATTTGATCTCTCATAGACTATATCACAAGAAAGTAGTCCCTAGTGCTCTGTGTAAGTTCTGTCCAGGTAGTGTTGTGGGGCATCTTTTTACTGATGTTATGTGATTGTCTGGAAGTGGTAAATATAGGGTAACAGGTCTTTTTTTCTTTGTCCTCTGTTCTAAATAGGGATATTTGTTATTCTCTTTTGGCTCTCTTGCTAGAAAATGACTCGGTCCTCTAACATCCGCAGAAACAGATCAACTGTAGCTGACTGGTCTGACCTCAGCTAAAAGGGTAGTGGCACTATGTTCAGAGCCTACATATTCCCTTCCTTGGCAACACTGGATCCTAGCCAATTTTGATATTGTTTATTTGGATGTCTCCAATGCTTGGGCCCATGGTGCCACTGGGGTATGAGCCAGGCTTGGAGTCCTGTTGCTTTTTTGATCCTCAGACTGGGGTTCCACCGACTGCAGGAGGGAATCCTTGTGTATGTACCCTTTAATGTTCTGTGTGTGAGCACTTAAAATTAATGTAAAAAAAAAAACAGTGTGGTCACAACCAAAGAAGGTCCTGCAGATGGAACTGTATATTGTTGGAACCCTCTGTGACATTTGTGTTACGTCGCTGTTCCTGAAGTACAACATACTGTACCTGTATGTGAGCACGGTGGTTTTCATTTCAGGGAAAGCGGAAATATGCTGATTCACAAAACAAATCAATGTAATTTTCACATGCATGACAACGTCTGCATCTTCCGTACAGAAAGTGTCAGACCAACAGTGTCAGAGACAGTTTATAGAAGGTAATTGTATTGTAATTGTTTCAATAGATCTTTTTATTAGAAGCCCTAATTCCAAACCTACAACATTTCGTCATGTGTTTATTTCTGCCCCAGGGACTGTGATGTTAGTAAAATAAACTACATGTATGCGCAGTATGTGAAGAACACAATGGAGCCCCTGAATATTAGAGACGTCACAAAAGACAAGAGGCTTCCCTGGACAGTGAGTACACACAGCTGTTCTCTTTGGAAATGCTATGTTATCAGCAATCACACGATTTGTTTTCTGCTGCCACAGAAACTGACCTGTTTTTTATATGTCTTTTATCCCTCTTGTTATTTATTTGATAGAATGAGAACACAGAAAATTCAAGCCATCAAATAAAAAGTTTGCTCTGCACCCCAATTAGAAATGGGAAGAAGGATAAAGTGATAGGTATTTCTACTTTCTTTCATAAACTTTTTTCTCATTAGTTCACATTTTTCTGAATGATACTGTGTATGTGTGGGTTGCTAGTTTTGATTTAATTACTAATTTAACTTTTTGTTGTGGCCTATCCATATCAAAACGGCTGTTATGAATGAACAGATAATAAGCAGTGATTAATTTGGATTTGTCTAGTTAGAAATAGGTGTATATTTATAATATAGTATTTTAAATACTATTTAAATCTATTAAATATTTGTAACAGTCTGAAATATTATGAATGTTAATTGAATACTGACTTATTATTTTCTAAGTTCATTCATCTGACGTTTCACCTGTTTTACTATTTGTACATTCAGAAATGTCTGTTCCTTCTTTTGACTAACTTTAAGGAAAATAAAATATAACATCCCCTACTAGAGGCAGTGACAGAAGGTGACTGTAACATTATCTTTGTGGTTCCTCATACAGCTTGTACACAACAGGCTATAATCAATAGAGTACAAAGTCTACAGGAAATCAATCTTTGTTTTTACACCACATTTTTATGAGTTTATACTCTGAATGGAACAGGAATAAAATTGAATTATGAATAGTTATATCCACAATTATGTATGAATAGATAGGAGATAGGATCTCCTTTTATAAAAAAAAAACAATCCTGTTCGACATAGAAAATAATATTGAAATGGAAAAGCACCATGAATTCTAATAATAAAAGTATATCTTTGAAAGATCAAGGTAAATTGGATTATGTTCTGTAGCTGTAGTTGTAAGAGTGATGGTACTATGAATATCAAGTCGCTATTTCAGGAAGTATTGCTGGATGACAAAAGTGGATATTACATATAAACTGGAAATTATTTCCTGACAGAAATGTACAGTATATACCCCTCCTTTTCTGGGCTGATGTGATACCTTTCATATGAATGTATTATGCAAATAACAGATCAGAAGATTAATTTATTGACATAGTGAATTGAGTTCAATAATTTCAGCTTTGAGTAATGCAAGTGGGGAAACAGATACCTACCACACTTTTAATTCATGGGCGCTTGTAGGCACGCCGTGCTGTCAGTGAGGCTGTGCCTCTTCTTCAGTTGGTGCTGAAGCTTCAGGACAGGACTCTGTTGCCTGTAAAGCCAAAAAATGAGTGGCTTTCTTACTCTCCTGTGTGTGGTTGCAGGGTTTCTAGCTGCCAGCCTACAAAATCACACAATTGACTATTCCTGATCGGGTGGCTATAGCAAAAATGATTATTTGCTTTTGACATCTTGTAAAAATCTACTGAATGATAATGATGAGGACTGTAATTTTAGCTTATAAATTTTAGAACTTAGAGTTTACAGTGTATTAGAAAAACAGGATCGAATTTTATATTTGTACTTTTATAGAATAACTCGACAAGAGGTGTTTTTTAAGTCTTTATGATCATCGATTTCGGTTCTGAAAGTATGAAATGTGCTTGTTTCGTAGGTGTTTGTCAGTTGACGAACAAAATGGATGAAGCCTCCGGGAAGATCAAAGCCTTTAACAGAAACGATGAGCAGTTCCTTGAAGCCTTTGCCATCTTCTGTGGGCTGGGAATCCAGAACACACAGATGTATGAAACAGTGGAGAGAGCCATGGCCAAGCAAGTGGTTACTCTGGAGGTACTGTAAGCAGACCAAGTGCCAGATCTAAAAACCTGTAAAAGTAAACTAACTGTTGCTCCTATTAAAAGTTAAGTAAAAATGAATGAATGAAGCCAAACACCAGAAGTAAAAAGATGGGTATGCTCCTGTGGTGTCTTTTATGTTGCAAAGGTTTCATGGTTTCTGTGTGCAGTATGAATATAAGAGTAAATCTGCTTTTCGGTTCTCCTGCTTCCACTGATTGTTTTAAAGACCGAAAAGCAGTCTTCACCTTCCCTGTTCTGGAGCTGTCACAGTCAAGAGTACTGAGTGACGCCAGCACTCCACAGCAGCTGACACCCACCAGTGTGTTCTCAAAGGGCCTTGCTCGTTACTGAAGAGATTGAACTTTATAGGAAAGATAGGATTGTAGGCATTGCATATTCTTCATGTACAAAAAACTGGCTTCACAAAGGTCTTGTGAGCTGGTTCTGACAAGATAAATAGTCAGGCTTTGTCTGTCGCCTGAGCTGCCAGATGAGTTTTGGGATTGATTTTTTCTCTGTGAAAGTGAAAGAAGAAGCACAGCCAAAAGCTACAACATAGTCAGGATGATGGAAAATACATATTTTATTTGTTTTTGCTTTCATAAATATGTTAAATCAGATTATGTCTGGAAAAGCCAGGTGACCTGTTTAGTACTTTGGCAGTACTTTATCTGAGAGTGAAATTAATATTAATAATATTTTTTCTTATTTCTTTCACCTCTTGTTTAATAAAAGCACGCTTTGGCAGAAAAATTATTCCAAGAGAAATATTGTCTTTTGAATGTCTGAAACCCTTCGTGATGATGTATTTAATAATGATTTAGAGGGTGTTCAAGAAAGGTAGACCATCCATTTTGGCCCTGTCCTGTTTTGAAGATCTACAGTTTGGGGTTAGGTCTATAGATTTATCTTTAGGATGCTTCTAAAAGATAAGAAAACCACAGTAATTCAAGTCTGTAAAATCTGGCAGGCAAGGACAAGTGACCTACAGTAAGTGTTGTGTACAGCATTTTGAATCACTCGATTCATTCTAAGCTGAATTTAAGAAATCTAAGAATTTATTGTTCCGGGGCTACCAGCCACACTTATAAGAAGAGCCCTGTGGATATACATAACAAAATACCCCCTTCCTTCTTTGAAAACCTTACATTTTGTGTGGCTTTTCCTCTTCTCAGTCTTACACTCTTTTCTTGGGAAATGTTTTCTTTTCTTTTACAGGTGCTCTCATACCACGCATCAGCAGCTGAGGAGGAAACACAGGAGCTGCAGGTAACAGCGGTAAATTCCATTTTATTCATCCATCTTTTTCATCCTTTTGACAAGCAGGAGTGCTCCTGTTTGCTTATGCTCCGTGTTTACTTACAGTACTAACATGCAATTATCGCTATGCTGCGGTCAGAATGTATTACGGTCTAATGGTCAAAGTTCTGTCTTGCTCTCTGATCATCATTACAAAGGATAAGAGGATTTAGGAATATGTGCAGTACGGATTACACTAAAAACAATGTGCACCAGATTTTGTTCTTTTGTCCTCTCGTTCCAGAAAATATATGCTTTAAACACAGCTTCAATCTCTGTGTTCTAGTTACATTGACATCCTAAGGTACTGGAATGGCAAATCTCTTGCAAAACTCTTGAAGTGCAGTCAAGCAATTTGTGTTTGGGATCAATTCAAATAATCAATACAATATAATTTACATATGTACATTCCATACATAGATTTAATCATTTTAGAAAATTATAATTTGTGTTCAACCCAGTGATTTCAAGTGATCATAAGTATTGATACACATTCAATTGAAGTAAATTGCGGGGTGTGACTGTCTTCCAGTTCCAACATACTGTACCTATACCAAGACCTTTCCAAAAGTTTAGATGTATTCTAGCTTCATCAAAAGTTATTCTACTGCTTTGGTACAGTAGATATATGATTTCCTTATATACTGTATACATTAAAAAGCAAACTTGGGTTTGCTTTTAGAGTTTTGTACTATGCTTCTTTGCAATATAAGTCATGGATTGGTGAATTTAGCCCCTGTATTCTGTTAGAGATCTTTCACTCTGAGTGGGATCATCAGAGATAGAGAGTGGTTATCTTTGTTGAGAACATACAGTAAAGCCAATAACTCTCAGCTCTCAGTATGTGACACATACTTGAAAAGCTGTAGAGAGTGATTTTGTTATGCCACATTAAGCCGTGTGTACGATGATTTTTTGTTTGATTTCCCTAGTGTAATGGCAGTATCTGGAAAGTATATTTCAAAACCTGTTGCTTTAAAATTTAAGGACAGGTCACAAAGGTATGTTTTCTGCCAGGATTCTGGTTTTGCCTTGTAATGCTGCTCTTTCACCAAAGGAAATTAGATTAAACCAGGCCAAGGCTGTGGTCCCAGAATAACACATAATATTTATGAGAAAAAATTAAAAAGGCTGACCAACATGCTAACACCTTAACTGCTTAGATAACATTAAAATCCTTTTGAGCTCTTAAGAAATCATCCCATTTTAAAAGGATAGTTTTAAAAATTGCTCTGAGCATAGAGGGCAAGTGAAACTGCTGGGAAAACAAGCCCAGAGAGGAATCTAAATTACTTTAAAATCTATGCCGTGACCTACCATACTTAATAATATGCAAAAAGGAAACAAAACTTCCATTCTAATGTATCCAGCATGATAATAAAATACTTAAACTGCTTTAGCAGGGCTTTTGGAAACAGATATTTATTTCTAATTCAATGCAAGCACTTATGGAGCCGTAGTGCTGTACTGCTTGTTTAAAATAACATTTAAATATTTTAGGACATAAACTTATAGACATTCAGTCTGTCACATATTCAAAAATATCCTAATTACTTGATGCATGTACAGTACACAGTGTCTAAATGGAGAAAATGCAAAAAAATGGATGGCACAAAATTAAATTAAATTATTAATCCCTAAGAGATCTTCAGTCATTTTGTTTTTACTTCCTAATTTATCTGAGTTGAGTTAAAGGTGTTCCTAGTGATATTAAAGGGAATATTTCTGTTTGTTTTATATGTATAAGCTGTAGCTGATTTTATACTTTTACAGTCTTTCATGGACTGGAGTCTGAAAATGCCAAAGTTTTGTGTAAAAAACTGCTTCGCACACAAGAGAGCAGAGATTTTGTGTCTTCATTGAACTCCAAATAAGGATTTGCTCAGCCATCCCAGTTTATTTTAGAATGCACTGGAGTGCAGGCTTTCATCTGTTTTCTGTTACTAGACATGAAACCTTATGCTCCCTAATTTAACAAAAATGTCCACAAAGTGACAGACTCTACAGGGTCCCCTGGGTTCCTATAATGTGCCTGTGTGGCAGATGTTAATTCCCATTTTCCTTCCCATCCAAAAAACTATCCTTCTTGGGTTACCACTCCATTTGTTTCTGTACATCTAAGCCATTGTGGATAACATTAGCATACTTCCTCAGAGGAATAAAGTCAAATGGCTTAATCTCCATTCGCAAGTTTAGTGGTTGATTTTTAAGCATCTGAGTGATTTAAGTTATGTTAGGCAATATGTGTGGGTAAGCAATGCTTAGATTAAAATTTCCTCATCTTGAAAGACCTGTAGGTTTTGGACAAATAGATAAACCCAGAAAGGTGCTCACCACTGGACTAGGCTGAAGGGGGTTTATTTCTAAGTGTTGCTAAAATAATTGACTTTTCACTGAATTATACCCCCTTTTTAGGAAAGAACATTCCAATATAAGAATCACATATTATTTATAATTTTTGCTGTATAAATAATTCATTTTAAATGGTGGACAGCAGGCCTCAACAAATAGAAAATAATACAGGTAATGGTTGACAGAAATGACTCTCTACTGCAGTGTAATTGTTTAAAATAACGGGAGAAGTTAAAGCAAGCCTTCAGAGCCCACAGGGAATTTTATTTATTCAAAGCAGTACGTCTTTACGGATGGAAGAGCTTACTATGGTGCATGATTGTTTAGGCAGAGCAGTTTCATGTTGCAATGAGCAGTTTTTTTAGGTTGATGGTTGAAATACAAAGTTGTTTTGAAGATACAGGCTGATCAATATAGTTGCAAAACAAATGTAGGTTTTTCCCCCAGTAAAGACCTGAAAACCATGTAAGCAATAACCAGAATGCATATTTCCCTTTAGGATTTTTTAAAGTTAGCACTGTAAATTAACACTATCAATGTCAAAGCAGATAGAGCAATACTAGAGCTGATTCTGTATATCATAATAAAAATATATGAACACATATATGAATAAATATGAACACATGTCATTATGTATACTTATAAGGTATTGTATTTTGTGCTTATATGAATGGCATTGTAACATTGTTCAATACCTTGTTACTGGACAGTTTAGAAATACTAATACTCTGAAAGGATACTAAATCTAATAGGCTTCATTCTCAAAAATACAGTAAATTATTATGTAAGCAGCATCCTATTAGACACATGTAATAACCATTATTATATACTGGCATCTGTCTAATTCATGCACACCAGTAACGTCAGCAAAGCTCATATACACTGTTAGACTTAATAATTACACTGTAATTCATAAGGTACACCTGAAGATAGTAGGTCTCAAAACTATCGTGCTACACATTAGCACTTTTAGCACATTTAGCACATTTAGCATGGGTGAGTTTGTGATTAAATGTGTGAGTTTTCACATTTTCTCAGATTTGAGCGTGTACATGTATGTTTAAGGCATACAGATTCTTCTTTTCATTGTTTGTGAATATGGCATTTCATTGTACAGGTACTTTATTTTTGGCTTTATGCTTGCAAGTTAATTAGAACCTCTTGTGAATGAGTTCTTATATGCTGTGGTCATGCTTCATGTACAGTGACAGCACTCACGGAGTGAAACCTCCCGTGCATTGCTAGTCCTGCAAACTGCCCTGGCCATCTGTCTCCCTGAGTGGTCTGGTCAGGGACTGGAGGGAGGCCCCTCAAAGCAGAACTGTCTGACATTATCCAGAGTAATATATGGGCCTGCAGTCTGGTGCAATGTGAGCTTCACTGATCAAAGATCATTTAACATTTATGAGAGATGCAGGGCCTCTTTGGGGAAAGCTTTCTGCACTCTCTAGGGAGGTAGGTATGAGGGCAAGGAAATTAAAAGGGATTTCTTTATGTCATGAAAACATAACCTGCTTCAAAAATATTGATGTCCTTGTACCGTATTTCCTAACCTCATTCAGACAGCTGTGACAATTGTAGAAGTGGCGTTCTTGAATCAGCATACCTGTTTTAAATAAATGGATGTTCTGAATCGAAACATGGGAGGGATAAGGATGACAAATCAATCTCACACAGCTGTACCTAGTCACCATCATTATCATATTAGCTACATATACTGTACTGACCTCAAACGCCTACCTTTGCATTTGTCTCAAGCATCCCTCCTCCACCTCTCTGAATGGGTTCAAGCCTCCAGTACTTAAACTACAGTAATTAAATGCTGACAGATTAAATGTCAGCATTAACCGAGGGTGTGAGGCAAACTTATCTCACTAAGTATTGCAAATGTTCAGAAAGCATTCAGTTCTAGGATGTTTTTCAGAATTGCAAAAGAAAACTCCAGTGGGGCATGTGAACATTCAGTTGTTAGCTAAAACACATTTACGTCTAAGATATCGTTTTTAAGCAGTTTATCTATACTGTCTATATTTTATTCAAGCACATAAATGTCAACAATTGTTTGATTGATAGTTTTAACTTGTATAAGACATAACAACATAACAAAGTAAACAGGTGTTCAGCTGTGCACACTGTCCATTTAAAAACTGAAATAGCCTAATTTAAAAGAAACCTATCCACATCTATACCACAGCTATCCAAAACCTTTGTAGTTCTTTATAGAGCACTGTTCTGTCAAGTTCTAGGCCAAAACAGTATTGTTTAGAATCACATAAATGTCAGATGTTGAAAGACTCATAGGTCTTTATCAGGTACTTCAGAATTTATGGTGTCCCTAAGTTCTATAAACATTGCATAGTTATTTTGTTTTTCAGTGAAACATTTTCTAAAGAAAAGCAGCATGAATATTTACTTATAATAGCCTGATAATGAATTACAACGTTGGTGGCCTGCAGTAGGAAAGAATGCAATTCATTTCAAAGTTCATTTGGTGCACTCTGTTGTGATAGTAATCGGCTGCCTCAGTAAAGATGAATTAGGAACAGAGTTCAATATTTTTGTTTAGAAATAAATGTTACCATACCTCAGTGTCTTCAGAACCTTCATCTATTTGTCACATCTATTCGATATTATTGTCTATTATTGGGCATAGCCTATTATTGGGTGGAGCAGTGCCACTGTGGCTGAGGATCTGAGCCTGTGGCTGGAAGGTTGCCGGTTCAAATCCCGCAACTGGCAGAGGAATCCTACTCCGTTGGGCCCCTGAGCAAGGCCCTTAACCCCATCTGCTCCAGGGGCGCTGTACAATGGCTGACCCTGTGCTCAGAACCCAGGCTTCTCTCCCTGTCTGTGTGTCTCATGGAGAGCAAGCTGGGGTATGCGAAAAGAAGAATTTCTAATGCAAGAAATTGTATAGGGCCAATAAAGTGATGTTGTTGTTGTCTCAATACTGTTTCTCCTGACTGCCTTGATGTGTGGCATTCTTTTCAAGCTTCATGTTTTCTCTTCCAAAGGCTGCCACTGTGCCTTCTGCTCAATCCCTCGGCCTGCTGGACTTCAGTTTCAGTGACTTTGATCTCTCTGACGTGGAAACGACACAGGCCGCAATTCGGATGTTTACAGACCTCAACCTTCTGCAGAATTTCCAGATGAAGTATGAGGTACTGGCAAATCACACATCAAACTGAGAAACACACATTCGTCCAGCCAAAGTAAACCCCTAACGAAGGCGTACAATCAGTCCTTAATTTTCATGAACTGCATCTCATTAAAAAGCATTGAAAAGATGGCAAGACTCCTCGTTCAGATTGGCTCTCTAGAAGAAATTCCTGCCATAGCAGAATATAATTTTGGTTTTTGTTGACCTGAAATCAATCACAGTCTTTTAAAGCTTCCCACTGTTGCAAGTTATTAGAAAAAGAAATTGCTTAAGTTAAACAGGCAGGACCTTTCTTGCTTTTATATTAATTAATAAATCTGTTTTCCATTTGCTTTCAATCTAATTAAATCTGCACTGATATTATGTATCTTACTGGTCACCTACCGTATATGAACACTTGAACTCTAACAGCCATCTGCTCACAGCATAACTTGTGCATAATTATGAACTACTGTATTCTAACATCTTGGCAACTGCGGAAAAACTTAGGCATAGCCTACTGTATCTTGACATTTGTACCCGTAGATCAAACACATGCAACTGCCCAAATATCCTGCACGAACTGGCTAATTTCGGTAACCCAAGGGCCTTATGTACTCTAGTCTTTTGCAGGGATAATGTGTTGACGGCATGTGTTGTCTTTCTCCTGACAGAACCTTTGCCAGTGGATTTTAAGTGTGAAAAAGAATTATCGAAAAAATGTAGCTTATCACAATTGGAGACATGCTTTCAATACTGCTCAGTGTATGTTTGCAGTTCTCAAAACTGGTCGTTTTCAGGTAAGCCTTTCTTCGGGTGGCATTTCATTTTTTTCTTGCTTCTATAGTAGTCAACATAGTGAACCATATAAAAGCATTTTAGATTTTAAATAATTTATCATTTTGAATAATCAGAGAATGAAATAAACATAATATTCTTGTTTTTCAGAATAAACTCAATGACTTGGAGATTCTGGCACTGATGATTGCAACATTAAGTCATGACCTGGATCACAGAGGTGTAAATAATTCTTACATTCAAAGGTACCAATATTTCTCCTTTGAAAGCGTCTTTTATGAATACAGTTCCTTAGATTCTTGGTTATGCTCGTTCAGTGCAAAGCTGTGACCTTGATCTGAAAAGAACATTAAGTTACAGAATTAGCTAAAAGAAATAAATCACGGTAACCATTTAATCTTCCTTTAACCGTTAGCCAGACAAAATCCCTTTGAAACCCTTTATTAGTTTTTTTGTTCCTACAAATTATTCATAAACTCAGAAACAATACTTGGATAATGGCACTTCCATCTGAAGAGCAATGAGATCTCTAATGAGCTAACTGTCTGCAGGTGATACTGTGTCAATTATACATCCATATTTAAGCAGGTTTTTGTGTATTTGATCAGGAGTGATCACCCACTAGCGCAACTCTATTGCCATTCAACAATGGAGCATCACCACTTTGACCAGTGCCTCATGATCCTCAACAGCCCAGTAAGTGCTTACTGAAGAAATGTCTCACCATGTTTTATTAGTGATGTGCAATTGTTATTTTTTAGTATAATTCACCTGGACCATGTGCCATTTAATAATGCTAGAGTGTGCCCACAGTGATCATTTAAAATGACTATCTCCAAGGCCATTTCTTGTTTGAACATAGTGCACCCAGACTATATGATTTAAGGATTTATCATAGCAGTATTAATATTTAAACCGATATTCTTATTTTCCTTATGTGTCAGTATTAATGTGACCTCAAAAATGAACCTGATTGTTGTCACCCCAAGTGAGTTAAGTTAGTCAGAAATGCCCAGAAAATCTGTGGTCACTCAAATTAATATGTGCGATATAAGAGGAGGCTTTTCCTTACACAAATTGGGAACATGGATAAAGCTAACCATATCAGCTATGTTGTTGAAGCTGACACCCTGGCTTCTTACAGAAACAGCTGGATAAGATCCTTGTATTAATAAGCTGCTAAATAGAGGCAGAAAAGCCTCCTCTATTTGCAATCTGTACGACTTTCATAAATGTCCACTGTCTTGCCGGTGCTATGCTGATGACAGCTCTAAAAGAACAGGACTTTTAAATTACATTTTAGTGCAGAAAAAATGAAATCATGCAGCCCCTCATTTTGAGCAGGTGTGAACTGCTAAGCACTTGCATATCAGCTCATCATGCCCAATTTAAGAAAAAATATTGCTAAGAGTATGTCTCTTGAAGACGTACAGTATTACCAATAATTACTCCTAACACAGCTTTCCCTAGAGAGTGAATGGAGTCATTAAGGGAGTCAATTCATTACGAAAACAGCCAAAACTGACAAACACTACAATTTCGTGACACTTTAAGTTAATTAGAGTCCCGTAAATAAACCCCTACTAGTGGCAGTATGGCCTGAAACATTTTTCTTTGTCATAATTATCAACTGGTTGATGTTATTCTGTGGAACTACAATTCATGGAATAAGTAATAGTTGAAGAATATTGTTAATGCAATAAAGACAAAAGTAGAAATCCTACCCATAGCATTCTCTATCTGAGGGAGGAGCTCAAGAGTTCACTGCACTGAAAATATCTGCCTTTTAAGGTGCTGAGCCTCTTCCCTTGCCTTTTCTTTCTGGCTGTTGTAGTTGTATAAAGGAGACCCAGCTATGTATTGAGGCATCTGCTTCTCCTTTGTTTTACTCTTATTTCTGCACTGTCACATGCGGCTGTATGAGAGAATTGTGCGACCGGATATTCCCGTTATATTAATGAGTTACCAACCCCTTCTTTTCCAGGGAAACCAGATTTTGAGCGGCCTTTCCCTAGAGGAGTACAAAACAACCCTGAAGATGATTGAAAGGGCTGTTCTTGCCACAGACCTGGCTCTGTATATGAAGTACGTAACAGGTGACAGGTGCAGGGACTCAGGAAAAATGCAGCCTGGAAAGCTTCTGAAACGGGAGCTAGATAACCTATTTCATAGCTTGTGTTGCACAGTGCGTACCCACTGTTTTCATTGCAATTAAATTGCAAAACCGAATTTGACTTATATAATCGTTTTAAAAAGTAACTGTTTATGTCCACTTTGGAAAAAATGTTGAAAATCAAAACTGTCATACATTTTTAAACAGGCTTTTGAGTAACTCATTATACAGTGTGACTCACTGTGCATGTATTTCAGAACATGTTAGTGCTCAGCATTGTTTAAAATTTGTTTGAGCATGTGCAATAACTTCTGCCATTCACTAAGTGCAAGAAATTAGAATGTGACATAAGACGTTTTAATACATGCATTTTTAATATTGAAAATATGTTTCCATACCACAATATACTTTAGAAATCCATTGTGCATTTTCACCTGTAAGTACTAATTTAGTAACATTAACTGAATAACCTGTTTGAGTAATGAGTGGAGTGATACTATACTGTATGTATGTGGAAAATGGAAGGTCCCACATTTCTTTTTTCTCTCCGTATTACTTCTTGATTGAGAATGTTTGACATGTGGAGGGAAAAATATATTTGTGCGTTTATGTGTGTAAAGGTGATGTTTGATACAAACATACAGTACAGTGTTTTAAAAGTCATGGGTTTGTTGATTTCAATGACCCTGGAATGATGTTACTGTACAGGAGGTGTTGCTGAAAGGGAATGTCAATACACTCTGGGAAAGCTCCGATGTTTCTTTCCCAGTGCTTGTTCATCAATGATGAGATGATGTAACTCTGGGAAAATCCATAGAATAAACAAATGTATTCCATTAAATTCATATTCAAACATTTTTGGAGCTTTTCTGTATATTCTGTAGATGACTGCTGCCACATGTCCGTATGATATTATGATATCAGTGGGGGGTTAAATCCATAGGGAGTATCTGGATTTGAGCATCATTTTTATGCGATACAGGAACAGTGCAATTACTGTATTCACTTCTCATTGTGTATGGCTTTTCCACTGTATCTAACCAGTGGCTGGTGTAACTTTGGAAAGTAATAATAGTTTCATTCCTTGACAGGAAACGAGGAGAATTCTTTGAACTCACAAAGAGCAATCGGTTCACCTGGGAAGATGAATATCACAGGGACTTGTTAAGGTCAGAAGGGTCAGACCGGGATTACACTGCCAAAAATAAACATTCTAAAACGTCCTACACGCTGCTTGCAGTGACTGTGCAAAAAGTTTTTGTTACAATAAATTAACCTCAGAGTTAGTTACTGAAAAAGTGAAATATAAACAGTAGTCAGCCACACGAAGACGTGGGGTTCAGCTGAAAAAATCTCCTCTTTTAAGGTTGGTGTTTTAGGAATGAATTATTGAACCAGGCCTCAGCTTCAGCTATTCTTGGAGAGGGCTGCTGTTTTTAACTTGATTCCACATACTGTACTTGAAAGTGTTGAGTTTATCCAAGCTTTGCCGGCGTACCTTCTTTATTGAATGAAATCATGTTAAAAGAATTATTTGATCTTCAAAACACACCACTGGAAAATGTTTATATTACCACTGTCGCCTGTAGTCATTTTTCACTCATGTTTCGCCGTCACTCACAAAGCTCATGTTTCTGACTGGAGGAGAGGACATTCAGGCCCACAGGTGCGATTCAAGTTCAGCCCTTAAAGAGGTTCTCTCCTCCATCACTCTTTGAACTCAACAAGATTCCCTTCTTGAACTGTGCATATCACTGTGGGACCATTTTTTGTCTATCCACCGAGTTTCACCGATGTTATCTTTTAGGTCAATGCTCATGACTGCGTGTGATGTATCCGCAATAACAAAACCCTGGCCTGTCCAGCGAAGGGTAAGAATCAAGCTAACTTAACAAATAACAGATTCACGTTTTCAGGGTTACAGCACCTCTGACTCCTGTAGAAGTTTTAAAGGTGTCGGTATTCACAAGGCAATCTGCACAGACAGTTATGAAAGAGACGAAGATTATAAGTACAGCATAGAAGAGCCCCCCTGATAATGTTGTTCATTATCATAATCTTTCATTATTATTATTATTGTTCAGCTTCATATTAGGGCAATTGGTAATAAGGCAGGGATAGTTTAAACAGAATTAATTATCCAACACCATTGTAACAGATTTGTCTCACACATGCTACTCAGCCTGACCACTGTTAAAAAAACAATACTGAACATGTTTTCAGAATACATCAAGTCAACACTTTCTTGCAAATATGCATTTAATTTTTATTTTTATTATTGTTTTAATGAGTTACAAGTGTAAGACAGAAGACAGTCCAGAAACTTTGGTACTTCTATAACTGTATTGGAATGTTCCCTAGTGTTTTATAAACTAGATTGTTCTTGTTAATACCAATCATTAATTGTATATGCTCATATACAGTACAGATTTGTACAATGAACCATGCACAAATTCACAGATCAAATAACAATACATTCTTTTGATGCTTTCAAAGAATAAATAAAATGAATCACATTATTTACAAACCCATCTAATGCCGTTACATCAATGTCTCTGTAAGCCATCTGACTTTCCTTTTTTTAGATAGCTGAGTTGGTTGCCACAGAATTTTTTGAACAAGGAGATAAAGAGAGAAGAGAGCTGAATATAGAGCCAATTGTAAGTGTTCTATAAATTCCCTTGTTTTTTAGATTTTTAAATTACTATAATTTCTTCAGATTTAAGAAGAGTAGAATATGGTTTAAAAATCCACCTTTTAATGTGCATTTGAGAAACATGACTAGATGCACCTGTATTTTAAAAGCTCAAGAAGTTTATCTGCAGTTTCCATGTAACTTGAAATCCTTCTCATACATACAAAAGAAAAGTTACAATGAAGAGGATGGCATCCAGCCCATTGGTTATTGAATAATCCTTTAAAAGGCTTTGCACTGAGACATTTCAGTAAATCTTCCTTTTCTTCCAGGATCTAATGAACAGAGAGAAGAGAGATAAAATTCCAAGCATGCAGGTGGCATTTATTGATGCAATCTGCATACAGTTATATGAGGTATGTATGAAGATTATAGTACTTGACTGTTATGTATAGGTTTTACTGTGTGCTTTCTTCCTAACATTCATCAAGACATTCACATTTTTATTTTTTATGGATGTGTTATTTTTATATTTCTGACAAACACATAGATAATATCTGTTTTGTATAAACTAGGTTAAAAATGTTCAATTTGCATTTCAGTGTCAGTAATACATTTGTGTGGAGAGATTACATTAACAGTGATGATAACCCCTAGTTTGCTACATTATTTGTGTCTTTATTCTATTGCTGATATAGTTTTACACTTCTGAAGTAGGCAAAACAGCCTCTGTACTGGAACAGTCAGGGGAACAGCATTAGCTGCATGTAAAATTGAGATGGCAGCTCTGCGCTTGTGGATTGCTGCTATAGGATTGAACTTCAGTTTTATGGTGACAGCTGTTCCCCAATTGATCTCAAAAGTCAATTTGGTCTCAGGTGACCATAGGGAGCAGAAAGGATTACTGAACACTCACACGACAAGGCTGGTGAATGTGGAATGTGAGGTGACCAAGCTGAAGGGCTGTGAAATGAGGTCTTGCTCAGAATATAATGATTCCGTTGGATTCTTGAATTTCGTGAACCCTATATTCCAAGCTTGGTCAGGCAGGATGTGGGTATGGAGAAATGAGACAGATTATATGAAGATCACTCATTTGGACACTAACAGACGCTGAAAAGCAATTGCTTTGCACTGATAAATGGTCCATTGTGTGCTGTGCCTCTACTACTACAAACAATTACTTTCGAAAGCAAATGTGCAAATCTAATCTTTTGCACATCTGAGGTGTTTATTTTTTGCTAACTTTTTGCAAGGACTTCAGCCCAGCCACTGCACAACAGATATGTGGAGTGAGAGACAGTAAGTGAAGTGGGTATCTAGTTGCTGCCTGTGTGCTCAAACTTTTCCATGTTCTCTGCTAGTATCTGTTTACCACACATCTTCCCGGCACAGGAAGCAAAGCAGCTCATTGGTTCTGTTATTATGTTTGTTGTTCATTACACTGTTGTTAAATTAGGTACATTGTTGAGGCCGATATATTGACTTCTCTCAAATTCAAAAATGCCCAGGTCCGCACAGTAGAAGGCACCATCTTTTGGATGAAATACTAGAACGCAGGCCTGGTTGTAAAGTCACATCCCATGGCACTGTTCAGAAGGGTGAGAGTATTAGGATCAGTGTCATATTTAAATTCCACTCTGGGTGGTATTCTTAAAGTCACCTTTTAAATGAGGTGGTTGAATTTCACACGCAAACTGTGGAGTGTGGCAGGTGGTTCATAATGGTGGGTGCTTTACTTCCCTGGTCGCTGAAGTGAAAGCACTTTGAGGTTCTTTGCAATGAAAAGCACTCTGTAAATGTACAGTGTGGCATTATTACATGTATTAAAAGATATCACGGATAATTCTGAATGCTTGAAAAAAACATCTCACACAGTTTAATACATAAACCATTTAATCTGGGGTTACAAGACAAACAAATATAACAAGAAATATAAAAATGAGGTTTGTACACAGTACAGCCCAAACCTTATATTATAAGTTATAACTAATAGCTGTAATTCAAAGGACAGGCTGTATTTTATTATTAATAATCCTGCTCTTGGTTTCTGATTTTCCTTTTGAAGGTCATTTTGTTTCTACTGTTACTACAGAAAATTCAATAATCTTTTTTTTTTCTCTTTCTGGTGCCTTGCAGACACTTGCTTTGATGTCAGAGAACTTCTTGCCCTTACTCGAAGGCTGTAAGAAGAATCGACAGAATTGGAAACTCTTGGCAGAACAGGGTGAGAAAGAGATCAATGGAGCATCATAGCACTTTGGATATTTAACTGAAACACCACTCTGATCCATGATCCCTTTCAGGGTCTTTTAAAGACAGTTTTAGTTTTGCAGTAGAAGAAGATTAGGACTTTCACATTTTTAAGCTATATTTATTATTGTTTTTTGCACAAAGTTTTTTCTGAACATCTTGGTTTATCCAATACACTCAAACCTTTATTGGAAATATGAAATACAGAAAATAAAGACTTTCCTGCATCAAAATGACCAATTAGGTCAATTTTAGCTGACAATTGGACTTTTCTTTGCCTGTGAATTCTTAACTATGTAGACTGAAGGTTTTAACTCTTGAAAACACCATTAAAGCCAATATAGAATCCCCAGAATGAAGAGAGATTAAAGTCTTCTTAGTTGTATTTTATGTTTGCATCGGTAAATATTTATTGAAGTATACTTTTCTAATGTTATTCAGGTTTAGCTTAGTGTTACTGTCTTTATAAAAATGGAGATTTTCTGGTCTATTATATAATAGTAACTGACTGTTAGCTGTTTATGTATTGCTTGTAGATCACAAATACACTCTTTATACCTCCTCATACATAGACACTTATATGGTTCCTTTGTAAAATAATTGATATAAAATGTATCCTCCTTAGGTTATGATTGATATAAAGACAACCCTGCTCCATTTCAGTGTATTAATATAACATTTTCAGTTTCGCCATTTGCTTAAACTAACTCAGGCCCCTGTTAATTGTGTTATTGGTCTAACATGAGGGATGGGGAGCTTTATTATTAAATGTGATACTGTATCTTTCAGTAAATTGCCTATTTTTAATGTACTTTTTTCCATCGTAAACCTACCATCCTCTCACATAACTTTTATTTAATGAAATTGCCAAAGAGACACATCTTTTATAATCTTCCAGTTATGCTCCTTTTCCAAAGTACTACAATTATTAACCATGACACTTATGGAAATATTTTATTATTAAGTATAATTTAATGTAAACTCCTTAACTCCGAACTGATTGTCTTTCAAATGATGGGAAACAAAAGTTTTAAGCCTTGAATGTACATACATTCAGATCTCCCTTCTTTTCTTTTTAAATTAAATTTGAACATTACAGTTATGTTACTTTTATTACACACCCACACTATTTTTGAAATCATCAATTGTTTACCAACACAGCTGTATGGAATCAGTCCTTGTTCTTCACGGGGAGAAGGAGGATCCATTTATAGACACCCCTCTGACACACCTAACGATCAGAGCTATTTGTCATTTGATGCACTGCAAGGTTCTATGAGCCTTAAAGTCGTTAGAGCAGACTAAAGGAACAATGTGTTTCTCACACCAATCACTGCAAGCCTGCAGATGCCTGGAAGATTAATGCAATGGAGCCACAGCTGTCCTAAATGTCTAGCTGGGAAAACCCTATGTTCCAGTTCTGGCTCTTGAAGACCTCAGCCAGTGGAACTCAGCCAGCTGTCTGTCACTTCCTGGCCACAGTTGGCTAATGGCATGACCACAGCTGTACCCCAAGTCATTTACACCACAGTGCTCAGCCTCGGAAAGGCTTAACTCTTTTAAACAAGTAACTTAAGAAAAACACTTCTGTTTAAAAGGCCATGTGGTATTGTAGACCTTTCTGCACATGAATGAGAAAATTTCAATGCAATTGATTTACATTACAAGCCAAAGACTATAAATACAGTATGTGATTGAAGCGTGTTAAAAAGTAGATGTAGGCACATACTAGGTATACAGTTTCTTTTCACTTGATTTGTTGTCACATAATCACTGGTTTCTGAAAACAATCCAGGGAATATAGTGGTTAAGTGTACATCTCTAAAAATTATACAACGGTTTCTTGTCAATTACATTTTTACATAAACCTACAAAGGTTTATGATTTACATTATTTTCATAAGATGTTGTCCTGCCCGTCAAGACTTTGACAGAAATAAAAAGGCCATTGTGAATAAGTATAGTTTAGTAAGTTGTTTTAGCATTTTATCCAGGTGAGTTCACTTTGTTAGAGATCACATGGACAGACTTTTACATGTACAGTATGTTGTGGGCTTTGCAAACATTTTTTTGTTTTGTTTTCTGCTTTTATTTATAGACTGTTAAATGACAGCGTTACTATTAACATGCTACTTTAAAATATGAACAGTTCTAAAAATATTACCTACCCCTTACTCCAGAGTTAGGGTAAGGGATATGGTGTAGGCTACGGTCAGATTTATAGTTTTGTTTCTAAAATCCAATTGATCTAAAGTAGAGGTAGGCTATTGTCACATGTATGTCCTTTGCAATATCTGGGGACTACTTTAACAGATGGCATCTTATAGGATTATGTGTCCTGTCAGAACCAATGGCCTGAACAGGGGAAACAGCACACTCTGGCTGTATTTGTTGTCCTCTCTGTCAGGCGAGCAGTTAAGTTAAACTGTAAACTGAGTAAGATACAAAAACATTCTGTCCAAATCTCTGTTCCTTGTCTTTTTTTCTGGCTACATTCAACCAAAACAAAGTATAATCATGAGAATATGACTTGCTTGCTTAGGTTCCAGCATTCAAGGCATGACCAAAATCAGCTGTTTCTCTTTCTGTTACATAACCCTGTTTCCTTAGGTCAAACTGTGACATAGTCACTAAGCTTTTGGGGAAACCTTGTCCTCTGGGCTTGGTTCAAGCCCCTCAATTTCAGGGTTTCTGGATTGAGGTACCTATTGTCAATCAGTAATCCACTTCTTGCCTCTCTATTAATAATATATATTTGATTTATACAACATTTAGAAATGTCATTTGTAAAACCTGATCTAAATCCTAACAAATCTTAAAATAAACTCCTAAAAATACATATGGGACATTATAGGTGTTTTATTTTACTGTAGTAGTTCAGGTGGGTAGCTGCGTCAGCATGCGTAGGCTGCAAAGGAACAAGTAATAGGTTTATTCCATGCTGAAAAAAAGAAGAAAGAGAACACAACGTTTCGGCCGTGGAGCCTTCTTCAGGTGTGACACACCTGAAGAAGGCTCCACGGCCGAAACGTTGTGTTCTCTTTCTTCTTTTTTTCAGCATGGAATAAACCTATTACTTGTTTTATTTTACTGTTCATTTTGAACTGTTTTTAATCTCGTCCTATACCTAATTTAACCTATCACGTTCTGTCTATCTCAATTCTGGTGAAGAGTGGAGTTAGTGCTTTATGGTCACCTGAGGGGTTAAAAAGCACAAAACAGTTCCAAATTTAAAAGGCCAAGGCCAAAAAAGACAAAATACATATCAGGCTGTCACCACTCACTTGAGAAAGATCCCAGGTTAGAGATGGCTTGAGCTGACAGTAAGTCACCTAAAAACTATATATGTGGCCTTATCTTTTCATAGACTGCAACACAATATTTTTGTATGCATTCATCTATTTGTAGCAACATAATAAGATGTAATAAGAAAAGTTCTAAACCTGGATAACACCTCAATTTACTTTTGTTGGGGTCTTTCATTGACACAGTACTTCGACTCAAACGTAACAGCCCCTTTTTAATATATCTTAAGAATTGTAAATGAGGGAATGTAAAAAAGGAGTTAATGTCAAGCAGCATGTAGCCTATGTAAGTGACAAGACTGTTCCATATATTAATAACAGGAAAATAATTTAAAATGGGAACATGTTTTGGGGATTTAAACTGTATCCACCCATAGAACTTGTCATACTGTAGTAACGAAGCCTTGTATGAGTATTTCTTAAAGAAGGCTATACATTTTCTGTTAAATGTTGTTGTAATACGTCTCATGCTTATTTTTGTCACATAAAATGAATAGTTTATATTTTAGATTATTTAAACTCTAGAAAATACTTTCACTAGCACAATATTTATTTTTGAACTAATCAGCACCTTTTATATTTTAATATTATAGAGTAATATAATGGTCAAAAGGCCACTTGTTATGGTCCACATTTCTTGTGCGAGGGAAAATATTCTTATTGCCTTGTAGCTAGAAGTTTTGACTGATGTATTCTTGAACTATATCTGTATAAAAGTCTTAACTACTTTCATGTAATACAATTGTGTTTTGTTGTAGTGTGTTTATTGATTTAGAGCTATGAAAATTGTATTTCTTTGAATTCCTTTGCATTCTGTTAAAAAGCTTTGTATTGTAATACTGTACCTACTGTTAACACTTTCTAAAAAGAAGCATTGTGTATGAATAAATAGTACACATTAGTAAAAAGTGCTTTTCCTACAGTAAATGATGGTCCTTGTACGTTTTTATTATTATCATGTTAATATTTTAGTTGTGGAAAAAGTTAAAAAATAAGAGCCAAGCAAAACACTAGAAACACTTCCATCACAAATCATTTTTAGTGCAATATAAGTGCAATATTACAACATGTAAAGGACATGAGAGATAAAGTAATTTGCACTCAGTATCCTTGTTTGTACTTCAAATACGAGTCCAGAATTAATATGTATAAGATAATAAATATGAAAAACATTTTTAGCTGTTTGGAAACAAAATATTTGTTTTTGTATGCCGTTTAATTCAATCTTTAATTTTTTTAAAACAACTTTTGAAACAAACTCAACAATTAATTTTAGTGGATGGTTTTACTATCCTGTAGTGAGTGTGAATTTGTTTTTTTTCTTCTTTCACAAAGTGCTTCTATATTTCTTCCAAATAATTTTTCATATGGCTAGAATCACTCCTTGCGATCCCTCGAATCACCATGTAAAAATTACATTTAGGTGTGAAACACCACTTTATCAATTCTTTGTAATTTGCTGCCTTTCCTAGCAAAAATATCAGGGACAAAACTGGAAATGTGGTTCCACCTGCTGGACAATTTGAGACAATGTACAGCCCTTGGCATTCATTGGTTTCCACATATCTGCAAGTTATACTGACTGAGCTTTCACAGACATTTTACAAATTGCACTTGGGATGTATTTACAGACTACATGTAAAACAACTTGATAAATCCTAAGACTGTATTTTCATAAAAAATAACCAGTGGAGACTGTGTTACTAAACTTAAGTTTGAGTTGCAGTTATATAATAAGCGTTTAATAAATTGTGTTTTAAAAAAAATCTAAATAGTGCATTGTAAATCTTGAGCTTAACTTTCAATTTCAAATGTTCCTTAAACTGACCTGTAAGCTTTTTGTTTGCTTTTTTATTGGTTTTCCAACTCGATCAACTTCATGATCAGAACACAGGAGTATCTACATAAACACTGAGAACTTTTTCAAGCTTAGCTTCCTCCAGCTCTGATTTGGCCATGCAGTAGTTGGTGTTCCTATACTGTACATACACTATACAAACAGTGCTTTGTAATGGTATTCAGACCCTCATACAGTTTTCCTATTTTATTTTATACACAACCTATTTCATGCACTCAGCAAAAAAACAAAAAGAAGTGAACAGATATTTAACATGAAACAAAAATATAAATTTACTAAATTGTGTAAGCAAATATTTTACTGGGGTAAACCAAATTAATTCAGGTGCACAAAATGAATATTAATAAGCAACCTAACTAGTTGAGTGTCCTCTGTCTGTTATAATATAATAGTGGTTCACATGATTTAAGAACAAGTACAACTCTATACGGTTTCTCAGTCAGCTAGTAAATTTCAAGCAGAAGTTTCAACTATGAAGATCTACAGTAGGTACTTTGAAAATAATTCAGGGTTAAATCTGTTGAGAATATACAGTATTAAATCACATCTGTGGGCACAGTTCTCTTTTTTAGTAAGAGACGAAACATCCTAGTTAAAGGTCTATGGACAATATCCTCCATGTTCTT